ATACTTGGGTGCTGAGGTAGGAGGATCATTGCAAGTTTAAGGCCAGTTTGGACTATGTATTGAGTTCAAAGCTAGCCTGAACTATATAGTGAGACCCTGTCCAAAAAGAACAAAGGAAAAAAGAAAAAAGAAACAGAGACCATGGAATTCATGGCATTGTCAGTAGTTTAAATGTGAACCATAGGGGCTGGGGATTTAGCTCAACAGCATAAGCACCTGCCTTGCAAGCAGGCAGTTGTGAGTTCGATCCCCAATACCGATTTTAAAAAAGTGAACCATAGTCCACAAATGCAAGCACATGAGAAGCTAAGGAGGTAATATAAAAAGGAAAGCGACTGATTGTGAGAAAATAGAGAGAATAGAGACTGTGGTAAACTGGAGACCTCTCACTTTGTCTAAAGGGACAACAGAGTTGGGTGTGTGTACCTATAATCCCAGCACTCAGGAGGCTGAAGCAGGAGGATCCTTGCAAGTTTGAGACCGGCCTGGGCTACAAAATGAGCCTGAACTGCATGGGGAGATCCTGTTTCAAAAAGACAAGGACCAAAAATAAATAAATAAATAAATAAATTAAATTTTAAAAAAAAGAGGAAGAGGAGGAAGTTGAAAAAGAGGAGGAGGAGGAGGAGGAAAGTTCTAAGGATGGAAGTTCATGCAACCTGGAAATAGCTACTTAAAATAAGGAGAATCAGAGAAGCACTCCGCAATGAAGACTATTGCGGCCAGAACTTCCATTTCTACCCATAGCTCCCTGCTGCAAGCTTCCTTCTGTCAATCTGGCTTGAGCTGCCACCACTCCCACCTGGGTAAGTCACAGGAGGGCCCGTGGGATGTTTCGGAGCTAAGCCAGCGGCTGGGCGCCAGACTGGCTCCGCAGAGTGAGGCTGAGCTGGCTGGCTGCAGGGTCTCCAGAATCCAACTCCTGGTGCCCAGGCTACCACCTCCCCAGGGTCTTGGCACAAGGAGAGGGCTGGAGCCTGCAGGGGTAAGGAGCTCATGGGGGAGTGGTAATTGTCTCTCCCCACACCTCTAGCCAAGCCAGCTTTCTAGGTAGTCATCCAGCTCCACCACCCGAAGTGCTGACAGGAGACACTGTCATCCGGAGCTGCACAAGAGACCCCGGAGGGCTGAGGGCTGCACCTGGCTGAGGTGCCCAGACAGGCCCATGGGGGGCAGGCGAGCGCTATGCCCAGGCCCCAGGCTCCAGCGATGTTTGTGGAGCCTGTGCTATTTTAGGTTCCTTTGTCATCACTGCAGGCTAACTGGACTGGAGAAGTCTGATTAGAAAGGAGAGAAGAGAACCGGTTTAGCAAAGCAGGGGCGTGGGGGTTGTTTCCCTGAGCTGGTACTGCAGCACCAGGCAGAAGAGCCCGAGTCAGTGCTTCCCAGGCTCTCAGCTGGGTTAGAATTTTATCACTAGCTTCAGAGAAGTCACCAGACAAAAAACACAAAGAGGAGGAGACCTTGAGAATTGGGAGCCAGAGGGTAGAGTTCCTGCCTCAGGGATAATAGTAACAATAACGATGTCTTATAGGTGTGCTTAGGAGTGTCCACGTTACCTTCATAGACATTATCGCATTTTGTAGTAGAAAATGCCCTTCTGACGGTGCACTTCATCTTCTCAGTTGCCCAGGTAATAGTTCCTGTCTCAGTTCCAGTTGCTTCTGTCTTTTAGAAAGAGCTGGTCACTGTGATGCACATCGAATAAAACAATCCCTAACTAACAAGCCAGTCTGCCTCTGTACTCCTGTGTACTTATCCCACATAAGCCCCAGACCAGACCAGAGATCAGGGCCTCATATTCTGAGAATGATCCAGATCAGTGCCCGCTGATGTAAATAATCTACCTCCAAATCCTGGGTGTCATTTCGGTGTTTCTGTTTGCCATTGCAGTTTGATCTTTGCTGCAGCCCTCTGAGGAAGGCAGGTGTTAATCCCACCTGAAATACAGAGAAGCAAAGTCTCACCAAGGTGAGAGATTTGTCCAATAAAGTGGCCAAGGCAGGACCTAAATCAGTGATTAGGGGAATCAGACCTGCTCTGGGAAAACCTCGAACTCATGGCCATGCTCCTGCCTCAGCCTCCAGAGCGTGAAGCCTGCCACCTTGCCTGGCTCAGCTAGTTTTTGCAGGACAAAGAGAACTCAGGGAACAAGGGGGAGCTCTGCCTTCTCATGAGTCCATGGTGTGGAGAGGGGCGCGAGTGCTCGGAGCCTGTTGGTGGTCTGGCGTGACACAGCCATCGCAACAGGCCTCTGGACAGCTTCATCTCCTCTCTTGGCTGCTGGGTAGGAAGGGTTTTTCTGTTCCCCTGATGCTGCCCCTGAGTCAGCTCTCTGCCATTGCCCTGGCATGTCCCGGGCCCCACGCCCAGGCAGTGAGGAGATGCTGGCCGATTGCCCAGAGAATGCTGCTGTTTTAACTCCAGCCAAGTCCTGACGATGATCCCCCACCACCAGCAGCCGGCCCCATGATGGCTGTGTCGGGGGCTGTGTTGCAGGCACAGGGTGAGCCTCTCTTGCCTCCTGGGCTTCCTGGTCTAGATGGCTCCTGGGACACACAGGTCTTTACCTGATGGCTGTAGCCCAAGAAACAATGCAGGAACCAAAGCCATTTTCTAGGCTTTGGCTAAGCCTGACTCCAACCTCTGCTTGGGTTTCTGGTCACATCCAAATAGCTAGGGAGGGAGTTGCTTTTGGACAGAAAGTGGGAACAGAGAGCCAAGACTCCAGCCTGAAGCTGCCTCAGCTGTTTCTGGGGCTCTGACTCAGGAGCTGCTTCTCAGGAATGTTGAGCTCATGGGCTTTGGAGCCCCTTGTCCAAGATCAGTGAGCTGAGCAGCTGGTGGGGGAGGCTGTAGGCCTCTGTCTTCCCTGAGAACAGCTCTCAGAGAGAAAACACTCCTGAGCAGGTTGAATGATCACCCTGGGAGAAGGCCTGCCAGACCCTGCCAGAATGGGAGGAAGAAAGGAAGGAAGGAAGGAAGGAAGAAAGGAAGAAAGAAGGAAGGCTTTCCACATCCCTCAGCCCCCAGGGATCCACCCTCGCAAAGACTGCAGCAACCAACTTACAGTAGGAAACTGCTGCATTGCGTGCTAGTTTGTCTCTAGCTCCCTATCTCATCTCCCCACCTCTGTTCAGAGTTCCTTGACCTCGTGTTTCTGGGGAAAGAGAGTGCCTGGGACATTGCATATATTTGATAGATATGTCACAGATAATCTAAGGAAAAGAAGCACACAAAGGAAATCAGCTATAAAGCATGCGGGCTGGTTCATTTCCCCAAATCTGGAGAATCTGCTTCTATTCCCAAGCAAAGCTCCCAGACCACATGGAGAAGAGAGAGCAGAAAAACTGCAGTGAAGCTGGGCATGATGGCGCATCACTGTAATCCCAGCCCTCAGGGGGCTGAAGCGGAAGGGTCATTGGGAATTTGAGGCCAGCCTGGGCTACATAGCGAGACCCTGGCTCAAAAAATAGAAAAGGAAGAAAGAAAAGTTGCACTGGGGCTTCCTTGTTCCCAGTGGACTCCAGATGCCTCAGATCTGCCAAGAGAAAACAGGGATTCCTTCCTCCTCCAAAGAGAAGGCTTTGCATGGACTGCAAATGAAGGCAAAGGTTCTTTTCTTTGCTTCTGGCCCTTGTTTCATTTCCCTCAAATGGACTGATAACCCACAGTGAACCAAGTTCCACAGACACCCAACCTTGGAACAGAAACCATGCCACAGTTTATCAGTGCAATAATGACAGGTTTGTCTACATAGCTCAATAGATCCTAAAAGCTAGGAAAGCAGGAAGAGAGTCTTGTTCCCCAAGCTTGTCTCAGAATCCAGCGTGCAGCATGTACACAGCAGGCAAAGGTGCACATTTGTACACAGGGCTGACGGGCAGCTGGAACTTGCCAGTCCATTCCCACTGGTTTCCTGCCATCAGCGACTTTTTTTCTGGAGCTCATTCTAGGTCCGAGACTCTGACGACCTAGTGAACAAAACTGGAGCTGGGGGCCCTAGTAGACTGTTTCAGGGTCCTGGGGTTCTAGGACAGACTTGTGTCAGATAGGGCTCCATGCCTGCAGTCAGCTGTGTTATCCAGAGCCCTGCTGACTGTCAAACCCGGCCTACAGCGGCCTCTAGTGGACAAGTGGTTTGCCGTCCTTCCTGGGAGGAGGCGGCTCCCTCCTCTCCGTGGTGCCCGATCTCTACGTTTTCTATCCTTGACCCCAAAATTAAGAGCAGTTAGGATGGCAGCAGCAGCAGGGTACTGGACCATATCAAGACAATAGGTCACCCATCCACCCATCCATCCACTCTTCCACCCACTCACCAACCCATCAGTCTACCCCATCCATCCACCCCTTCACTCATCTACTCACCCACCTATCTATTCATCCATCCATCCATCCATCTATCCATCCATCCACCCATCCATCATCTACTCACCCACTCATCCATCCACCCACCTATCCACCCATCCACTCAACCATCCATCATCTACTCACCCATCCATCCATCCATCCACCCATCCACCCACCCATCCATCATCTACTCACCCACCCGTCCACCCACCCATCCATCATCTACTCACCCATCCACCCATCCACCCATCTACCCATGCATCCATCTGTTAATCTGACCAGTGCATTCAGAGGTGCTCACTGTGCACAGTACATAGTGCTTTGCTGAAAGCTCAGGAGGAAAGGGGAAGGAGGAAAGACAGGACCCTTCCATTAAGGGACCTATGATCTCAGTAAGAAGGGAAAAAATCAAGAAGGTTTTTAAAAGCATGCCATAATCAGGTGCCAAATCATTTCAAGGATTAGGTTCAAAGAATCAGTGCAAGCTGTCTGTGCCTTAGTTTTCTCATCTGTAAAATAAGGACAATAAAACAATGTGTACATTGAGATGAAGACTAAAATAATATGATGGGTAGAGCATATGGCTTTATTGCTGTTATTCAAGTAATCTACAGTTATCATTCAATACTTAGAAGACTCATTTAAAGTCCTTGCTTTTGCAACACATATAGTACAACTGGAATGATACAGAAAAGATTAGCAAGGCCTCTATCAAAGGATGGCTCACAACTTCATGGTATGTTCTACATTTTATGACTTTTGGGGGCAGTGCTGGGGATCAAACCCAAGGCATCATGAATGCTAGGCAAGTGCGTCACCACTGAGCCACATCCCAGCCCTGTATTCTATATTTTAAACACATACATACACACATACATTTTAAAAATAAAGTACATTCGCTGGGCATGTAATCCTAGCACTTGGGAGGTTGAGGCAGGGAAATTACTTTGAGGATCAGCTGGAGGTTGAGGTCACCCTGAGCTACATAATAAGTCCAAGGCCAGGCTGAACTGTATAGGTAGATACTGTCTCAAGAACAAAACAAAACAAAAGCACATTTAAGGAAGAAAAAAATACATACTACTTCCACTATAAGAGAATTATTAGCATAGAAATACTATTATTGTTTTATTGTTGTTTGTTGAGACAGGGTTTTGCTATGTAGTTCAGGCTGGCCTGAACTCTCTATGTAGTCTAGGTTGGCCTTGAGCTCAATGATTGTCCTGCCTCAGCCTCCTGAGTGCTGCGATTAGAGGCATGAGCCACCACACGCAGTATGTCATTGTTAAATTATTACAACAACCCTATAGGAAAGCTATATCCTCTTTGTTTTACAATACAAAGTATCCTTAGTAACTTGCTCAAGGTCACAGAGTTCCCGAGTGGCAGTGCCTGGTTCAAACCTTGCTCTACCCCAGGGTGAGACAAGGGCTGAGTCAGTCATGCTGAGATTCTGACCACAGGTTATCGGCAGCCCGGTTATGTCACTGTCAGAACAAAGACAACCGGAGAAGAAAAACTGGCCAGGGGCAGCAAGGGGAGCAGTTGTGTTAGTTAATATTTATTGAGCCTTTATATTCCAGGGACTGTTTTTGCCTTCATCAGTACCAATCACAAAGCTCTGTGATTAGAGAGGAGGGATACGTTAAAGAGATGTGTTGTACCACAAGATGACCACAGTTAACAACAACACTGTGTGTCCTGGAAATTGAGAAGACAGTGGATTTTAAGTGTTATCATCATAAAAATGCATGTGAGGTAAGGCACCTGTTAACTAGCTCAATTTATCCAATCTACAATGCTTATGTATTTCAAAGCGAGCTAAAGGTGACACACACTTGTAATCCCATCACTCTGGGAGGCTGAAGTAGGAAGATCACAAGTTTAGGCCCAGCCTGGACAACTCAGTGACTTAGCAGGAACCTGGCTCAGAAAGAAAACTCAGCCCGGTGTGGTAGCACACGCCTGCGATCCCAGCACCCTGGAGGATCACTGCTGGTGTGAGGGCAGCCTGGGCCACGTAGTGAGTTTGAGGCCAGTCTGGACTACACGGCAGGACCTTGTCTCAAAAAACAAACAAACAGGGGCTGGGGATTTAGCTCAGCGGCATAAGCACCTGCCTTGCAAGCAGGCAGTCGTGAGTTCAATCCTCGGTACCAATAAAAAAAGAAAAAGACAAAAAAAAAAATTAAAAACAAAATCAAATGGTTTAGGGATGCAGCTTAGTGTGAAGGCCCTAAGTTCAACCACCCAGTACTGCCCAAAACAAACAAAAACCCCATGTTAAATACAACAGATAGAGCTTTTATCATTGAAAATAAATAAAATGTTAATTTTAAAAACTTTGTTAGGCAAATACTACTTCTACATCTCCCCCCTCTTGTTTTCTGAGACAGAGTCTTGCTATGCAGCTCAGTCAGGCCTTGAACTCACTATATAGCCCAGGCTGGCCTCAAACTTTTGAAGCTCCTCCTGCCTCGGTCTCCTACATGCTGGGATTAACAAGTGTGCACCACCTCGCCTGACTTTCAGGTCTAGTTTGAAGATGAGAAAACTGAGATGCAGACGCTGGGGATGTGAGGATGAACATAAACAGACACAGATCCTGCTTCTGTGAGGCCTAGAGTCACACAAACACGTGCAAAATTACACGTGGGACAAGTGCTTTGAAGATGTGTTGGATGGAAGGAGGTCCTAAAAAAAGCCAAGTGGAGGATGATACTTCGGGAGCTGTCACTGCAGAGAGAGGAGGGAGTCGAGAGGGAGGGAAAGCTACTTGAGAAAGTGACATTTGCGCAGAAACAGAGGGATCCAGGCAGCAGATGCAGAGGCTGCCCGTGGTGCCGATTTTCCTCCTGATCACCGGTTACCTCGCTCATCTTCTCGCCCCCTCCGTGAGTAAATCTCCCCTGAGGCAGGGCCCTGTGGGACACATCTTTCTGTCCTCCGACTGTTTGGGCTAAAGCTTGGTCAGGGCAGGGAAGCTGCTGTCTACAGGGTTGGAAGGGTCGGGTCGCTGGCTATCTGCAGACCCTCAGCGTACCACCCCTAGGGCTCCGGGAGCGCAGAGGGTTCTCCCACCCGTGTCCACCAACCTCCTTTGTGGTGTCATTTCTGGCTCCAGGCCTAGATTTCTGTCTGTCCCTGATGAAGGAATCATCTCGAATTGCTCCAAGGTTTCAGGTCTCCTGTGTTTCTGAGCAAGGAGATATGTATGTGTCCTGTGGATTCCCAGGAGTTGTAGAGTTCCTTGCAATAAAAAGAACAGGGGAAGCTGGGAGTGCTGCTGCCAGCACTCTGGAAGGCTGAGGCAGGAAGATCAAAAGTTTGAGCCTAACCTGGGCAACTGAGTGACTTAATGAGGACCCGTCTCAAAATTTAAAAATAAAAATGGCTAGGTATATAGCTTAGTGAGGAGGTCTACGGTTCAATCCCCAGTACCATTTAAAAAAAAAAAAAAAACAGCCTGCCTGTAAGCATGAGGTCATGGGTTCCATCCTTGCTACCAAAAAAAAAAAAAAAAAAAAAAAAAAATCCCAAAAAGGACAATAGTTGTACCATGACAGTGACGGTGGGGTTTCCTAGGGCCTGTAGAGTTGATTCTTCCACTCTTCACCCACTCAGCCCTCTCTGCTCTAATCACACCAGCTTCTTGCCATGCTTCCAACCTACCGGGACCATTTTTATCTCAGAACTTTTGCTGCTGCTTCTTCTACCAGCAATATTGTTTGGATCTTCAAATACCTACCTCCTATCATCATGTAAGTCTCCCTGAAAAGTCACTTAAAAAAATTTTTTTTGAGACATGGTTTTGCTAAATTGTCCAGGCTGGCCTGTAACTTGGATCTCATAAGTAACCAGGATTAAAAGCTTTGGCCACCATGCCCAGCCAAGGCAGGAATTTTGCTGGATTGGTCTCTTCTCTTTCCAAAGTGGCTGAGAAAGAGGAAATATCCAATCAAATGAATGGATAAGTGAATATGTCCCTGGGTGCAGGGCCTTTGCTGGAGGCTAGGGCCAGTCTGGGTGTTGGGGTACAACTCAGTGGTATAGTGCTTGCCTAGCAGATGCAAGATCTGGGCTCGAGTCTCAGCACTTTGAAAAAGAAGGTAAATAAAAGAAGACTGCATATGACTCCAGTCTAGGTTCCATCATCCCATGTGTGGTATGAGCACATCTGAGTCGTTCCCATGTCTCTTTCCGTCCTCTTCCCTTTGGTCATATTATCCCAGTGATGCTGCCTACTATTCACCCTTATGCAAGTTAATTCGCCTGCCTATAGCTCCCTTCCTGAAAGAAAGAAAGAAAGAAAGAAAGAAAGGAAATTAAAAGAAGCCCAGCACTGGAGAGACAGAGGCAGAAAGAAGGATTACCACTCCAAAGCCAGTCCGGGCGACATGATGAATTCAAGGCCAGCCTGAACTACCTAACGAGAGACGCTGTCTCAAAAAAGTAAAAAATAAAATAAACTTCCTCCCCTGTGAAATGGGGCTGGGAGCGCCTGCACACACACACCGAGGCGGCAAAGATGAAAGGGAATCGCGTGCGCAGCGTGCTTGTATGCTGCCTAATAAATAATCCGCAAGCTCTTTTGAACACCAGCGACCCTGGTGGCTTCTGTGGTCCTCCCGGCCGGCTCCCAGTCTCCTCCCTCGGACGAGCCTCCCTGCGCACTTCGGTCGTTCCACCAGGGGGCGCCACGCGCCGTCCTTCCCGCCGGGCCCATCCTGCGGGTGCAGCAGCCCGGCCCCCTGCTTCCGCACCTCGGCTTTGTCTCTGATGACAGCTGTCACCTCTCCGCAGAGATCCACCTCTTCACTCCGTACGTCGCGCCCCCGTACCCCCAATAGTTCATTCATCCTGAAAATATTTATGGAGCACCTACGCTAGGCCGTGCTTTGTCGTAGGTGTTGAGGTGAGGAGGGGATGGATCAAATGCCTCCTGCCTCCAAGAAGCGCCTGGTCCCAGGGGGAGACGGGGGTGCGAGGCAGTGGGAGCGCCCGCATGGACTTGGGGGTGGAAAGGATGGAACCAGCCGCCTTGATTGAAAAATGAAAAGGTAGGGGCTGGGGATTTAGCTCAGCGGCATAAGCGCCTGCTTTGCAAGCAGGCAGTCGTGAGTTCGATCCCTGGTACCGAAAAAGACAAAAAAGAAAAATGAAAAGGAATTTCTTTGTCAGCACCTCACCTCATGTGGTGATTTTGTTTGCTTCCTTTTTTCCCTTTGCTTTCTGAAACAAGGTCTTGCCATTGTCCTACAGATTGCCCTTGAAGTCACTGTGTAGCCTTCAAACTTGCAGCCATCCTCCTGCCTGGGCCTCCTGAGGTGGTGCGATTACAGACCTGTGATGAATTTTTTGTTCTGTTTTGTGATGCTGGTCTCCTCGCATTATGTGTTCCTACAACTCACTTGAACTTTTGAGCTCAGCTCTCCCTCAGGGCCTCAGACAACTGTTCCATGAACCTCAGCCCTCATCCCACACAGCCTCGACCTCACTCTCGAACCCCAGTTTTTTCTGCCCAAGTCTTCAGGGAGCTCACCTCTCCCCTCAACTACCTCCTCTAAGAAATGCAACAATCATTGATTCTGTCTGTGGCTCACTGCGGTGATTCTGATTTTTCTCTTGAGACAGGGTCTTCCTATATAGTTCAGGCTGGCCTTGAACTCACCAAACTCATTAAGTAGCCCAGGCTGACCTTGAATTTAGGGTAATCCTCTTGCTTCAGCCTCCTGAGTGCTGGGACTGCAGGA